TGGGGTGATCTGACCCCTCTTAACTTCCTGCCTCTTGGGCAGGAGGCTGGACCTGATGATCTTGTGAGCTCCCATCCAGCTCTAATGTCTATGAAATCTATTAAATCTATATCTTCCATAGCAATGGTTAATTCCCTTTCTGGAGAAAGGGTTCCCCCCCAGACTTACTGTTCCTTAGAATACATCCCAACCCCCGTTAATGACACTGTTAATTACTCAAGAGGGAAGGATCTTTTGCATGATGTCTTTTATGGCACCAAGTGTAGAGTTGGGCTCAAGCTGGACAAGCCTTTGGATGCAAAGCATTCTTCTTCAGGTCACTTTAATGCTTTCATCTTTAATTATTGCCATTCATCCAAGCAATGAGAGAGAAATATTACTTTGGATTTGGATAGAGAAACCAATCAAGAAAGCTTTACAAAAGCTGTGTACAAAATGAAGGAGCAACCAGATCATAAATACAGGAAGTCTGGCTACATCCTGCAATTCTGCACAAACATCCTTTTCCTCTGTGGGAACTTTCAGCCAGTTTCTGCCCAAGTTGAAGAATCTGACTGCATTGGTAAGCATTTCACTAAAGAAAACTGCACCAGTCTTATCTACAATAAATGACCCTGTTGTTTTCCTGGAATTAGGTGCATCTCATGCTCGTTATAAAGAAACCAGTTTCAGATGATAAACAAGATGATGCTGCATTACCAGATAGCCCTTGCCCTTCCTTCAAAAAAAAATGTTCCCTTCACAAACTATATTAATTATTAACAGTTAAAACTATGAAGTGGTTTCTAACCCATGGTTACAATTTGTACAATGCCTAGATGTACCTTAGGCTTGCCACAGAAAACAGAGGAAGACAAATCCTGTGCCCTGGGAAACCTGAAAGCCTGGCAGGTGTAACATACAAATAATGGCAATAAACACAAAGGGAGGGAAAAGAGGAAAGTGTGATGGGGTCAGATCATGGATAACTTGGGAGTGGCTGTGTACACTTAGAACAGTTGTGGATTGTTGAGAGAGAGGGAGGGTTGTATTCCTGTACAGATCACTTGTATCCCTGTACTAGTAATTAACTCTTGATAGTCCAGCTCATTGCTTGTAGCAGTGCTGCAGAAGTTTGTATTCAAGAGGGATTTGAAAAAAGCAAAAATGGGAAATGGATTTAAGTAAAGTTTTTCCCAGGACTCAGGGCCATCAAAGTGAAGATAAGTGATGAATTATTCCAGTCACTTCTCTACTTTTTTTATTTACCAGGCCCCAAATCAAATGATGTTCTTTCTTCTAAATGTTTCAGGATAAAATGATTTACTGAAGCTAAGTACTGAATGCAACAAACTGCTGCGCAAAGCAAAAGACCAGAGCTGCTCAAGCCAGGATGCCGCTTATGCTACAAAAACTTTTGCATTTTCCCATGTAGCTTTTGCACAGAATCAGTGTGTCAAATTTATTAGAGTATTTAACAAAATATTATTTTCCATAACAAAATATGTATTTAACTATTCGAGACCATCTTAGATGCCTCTGAGAACCTTGTTCTAGCTGCGATGGTCCAGGAAAAATGGGAACAGTTAGGATTTTTGTGGGTGGATATCAACAATCTTTCAAGCATTAAGTACCTTGACTGTCCAAACTACATGCTGGGGCTCATTACCAGGTATACATAAAGTGAGTGAATCTACACATGTGTTTTACTGTAGAGTAGACTAATTAGTTCCCTAATAAGCATCATCATCTACATTAACTCCACCATAATACTGTCAGGGACAGTACTATCTTATGGCAGAGTAATTTACTGCACTGAAACGCACATGTAGACACTGACTACCGGCATAAATTGCGCCCAGTCAGCCCAGTCAACTGAGGGCCTGCTTTATCTCTGCTTAAATTGTTGCTGTCCCAGGCGCATGTGTAGATGCTGTGCCTGGGAACAATTTATTCCAATGCTAACTGCCCCAGAGTTTGTTGCTTTGCATTAATTTCATGTGTAGATGCACCCAGTGTCTGTGTCCAGACATGCATGGACATTTGGTTCCCTGGGGGACAACTAGCAGCAGCACACCTTATGCCACCACTAGTTGTCCCCAGGGAATGCCTATGCTGTGTGCGCTCTGGCACGTGGCAAGTTGCCCTGGATGGGGTAGAGGAGGCTGGGGCCAGCCCAATGCTGACCCCAGAAGCCCTACCTGGGGTCCTGGGGGCCTCCCACAGCTGTAGCAGTGGCAACACTGCTGCGCGGAGCCTGGCCAGCAGCAGAATGCCGCTCGGCCAGCTGGGCTCCGGCTTTGGGCAGTGCATGCTGCCACCACATGTGCCACTCTGTTTTGTTTGGGGTTCTTTTCTGCAGATTTTTTTGACCCCTTGGTATCCAGGGTTCAAAAAAACCTTCCATGCTGCTCCCTTGCAGGGTGGAGAACAACAAAACGTGCAGTACATGGCACCTCCGACGTGTCTGTGACACCACATACTGCCTGGCTGTGCTTGTCTGGATGTGATCAACGTGTGCTAAAAATAATCCTGTTTGTGACTATACCATCTAGCATCTCATGGAGAGACTGGGGAGAGTTTCAGGTGGAGTCTTGTCTACCACATCCTAAAGAAAGGTGTTTGACAACAAACATTGGACAACTTTCAGTCAACAGAAGATTCAAATGTGTACTAGCATTTCCACTCTTAAGCAAAACAATTCTCTTATCACCTGTGCTGAGTGCCCTGTTCCCTCTTCCCTTCCCCACCAGGCAATTTATGAATCTGGAGCACCCTGTGAGTGCTTGTGTCTGTAAATGGTTGTATCTGGGTGCTTTAGGTTTTCTAATTTCTCATTTGTATTTTGCTGGACGTGTCAAACAACATTTTTGCTAATATCCGTTGCCTCTAAATACTATGAGTAGAGGCTTCCCTGATGTTCCATTGGCTTTTCCTTTCTTTAATAAATCCAAGTTTAATCAGGTTAATAAACTCCCTTCCTTTAAAGTTTGCAAATATCATACTTATTTTAATAAAAAGGGCATAGTTTGAGAAAACAGAAATTAAAAGTACCCTCAGCTTTTCCAGAGGATAGTTTAATATAGACCTGCATTTTATGTCATGGGTGGATATGGATATAGTAATCAGTTTTACACTGTTGGATTGCCTTTGTTTTGCTCATGTGCATTTTTTATATGAAAAGGCTGAAAAACGAGAACTGTTCATGGGAGGGGGAGGGAGGTGACTTGTCTAAAATAAAAAACCTGGTTTGAATGTGCGTTTATGGTAGTTTTTCACTAAAATGGTGTACAGTCTGCATTCAGTCTATGTTTAGTTATTTTTAGAAGGACAGCTGGGTGAGGTAAATGTTGGCACTGTGTGAAAAGATTGGGGTAGGAATGTTGTTTTACAAGACCTGCCTGAATAGCCCCACTGCCACTCCTTGAGACAAGACTTAACACCTTTTTTTATTTTTATAGATATATTATACATCTGTGTTAACTGCTATCACAGGTGACATAGGTTCTTTCACGAGAACCCCCCCCCCCCCAAAAAAAAAAACAAAAAAAAAAACCAAAAAAAAAACCCCAACTATTTTCTCATTGCTCTTTTTAGGAATTTGGAATAGTTTAAACAGAATGCCTTTACCAGCCAATTAATATGAAACGTATTTCCTAATAAGCTTACTTAGAGTAAAAAGAATAGGGGAATTTGGAACAAAAAGTAGTCTTGTAATTCTGTTAAGGTCCCCTACAGTCTTTTGCTTATAATAGCTAAAACAATTTGTGTAGAAAGAAGCAATTGTAATCTGGGTCCTGAATAAAAAATAAGACTAATTGCTAAATTTACATAGATTTACAAAGAAAAACATTTGATAGCTAGAGAACTTTACATATAGGTCTTTGTGATTATTTTAGCATTAATTTGCATATTAATATGTTGCTAATACTACTAATTGAATTAGTAGGCTACGCATAGGGGGTGCACAGGGGTGCACGTGCACCCCCTCACAGTAGTGTTCCCCACTTAGGCGGTGGACAGGGGGGCAGGCAGGAGCACTGATGCCCCCCTGAGAGTGTCGGTTGGTGAGTGGGGGCGCCAGGAGAAGCACCTCAGGCCCTTCTGGGTGCGTCCCTGGCCCTTCCAGGTGTGCCGCTGGCACTTCTGGGCAGCATTACCTCTTAGAGCCAGCCCCCTGGTTGGCGCGATCTGCTGTGGGGGGACCCTCCTCCCCAGTTTCTAACTGGCTGCTGGGAGGGCAAGTGCCTCCCCCCCACCCCAAACTCAGGAGGCACCAGTCGCCCATGACTAATTTTACAACTGGATATGGGGTTAAAAAAGCTTTCAGACTGGCTGAGAAAAATGTGGTCCCATCCTATTCTATAACACAATTTTGCAAAAGGCTGCATGATTAAAGAATTTGTGTTTAGTTTGGCCTAATATACCTATGTGTGTGTGGCTTATTTTTCATTATCCTTGATTCACTTTGTTATTAAGACTTTATAGTTATTTATTTAGAAATGTACCAGCAGATTTCCCTCTCTGTAATACAGTATATACAAACAATGTGTATTATGCTCTTTATTCCTCCCTCAGTGAGGTTTCATGCAATTATTCAGGTAAAATTAGTTTTGTAGTCTCATTTTTCCCCACAAAATAGCAAGCAATTAATGCCCATATCCAGAAATAACTGGACAAAAGGCAGGAGGGGCTTGGTGACAATCAAACTGTATATGGTGGATAAAGGTACTGAGTTGTTATCACTCTCTATCATCTTTTTAAGTTTAGGCTCTCTTATTTCTCCTATGCTCTTTTTTTGTCTTTTTTTTTCTTTTATTTATTTTCTTTAATTCTTCCTTTCCCTTTAGGGAGTTTCTTTTGTACACTGCTAAGATTTCAACCAAGATCAGGTTAGTTTTGGTTTCCCATGATAGCTATTACACAAGCACATTTTGTATGTATACGAAAAGTTGTGAGGACGTATAGAAAATGCATCGAGTACACTGTATTAACAAATTCAAGTTTCCAAAGTGTTGCAAGTTTAGACTTTTATCCTTGGATTATCATTAACTTTTTGTCATGTAAAAACACATGACGGTTGTATCAACTCATTACATCAAGTCATTACATCCTACCTTTTTATAACCACCAATGACAGACTGCGAAGCCAAGGGGTCAGTTTTCTGTTAGCATAAAGAACACACATAAAGGAGTTGACTACCAAAGAGATTTCGATCTCCAGGAATAAGAGTGCTCTACAAGTGGTATGTGCATGTTTCTTTGTTTAATCTGAGTGTGCCTCTGGCAAGATTTGATTCATTAGACATATGAAAGCTGTTAGCTGCTGGGGTGTTCATTGCTTGGGGAGGGAAGCTAGTAAAGAGTGAACATGTTCAGTTTTCTCCTAACAAATTAGCTAAGGCAGGAAAGAGTAAGATATGAATCTTGCTAATTTATTTATTTACTTATTTGATTCATACGTCGCTTTTCCCAAGGGAAGTTCAGAGCAGCTTGCAATAACAGATAACTTATAAAAGTTTAACAAAATTAGGCACCCACAGTGAAGAGCAAGGAGGCTTTTTTTGGTCTGTTGTTGCTTGCCATTATTTGCATTGTATAAGCATATCTAAATGGATACATTTCAGAAAACTGGACAATACATTTATTGAAAAATGCATTTGACTGTAGTTTAAATTTGGCCGCCTGTGTTTCCAAGTGATTAACGATAACAAAATAGCTATTATGCAATGTTGAGGTTATGGCAGAATGGAGTTCCAGCCGAGCTGCTGAACGTGCCATGGTTACCCGCTTTGAGGCTCTCCTAGAAGCCTAGGGCTGGGCTTGGGGAAGGGTCCGCCATGACAGCAAGGATTTGGGGACATGTGCCTGACAGTCAATCAGGTATGGCCCGGTTCTGTAGAAGGAAGGATCGGGCTCTGAGGGGCCCGATCCTTCCTTCTTTGGAGCGCTTGTGTCCCTGATGTCTGGTGCAAGCCTCCCAGGCTGCCCAGTACGTCTTGCTAGCTGCCACTGGTGCTGACCTGTGGCAAGACATACTCGGCAGCCTGGGAGGCTTGTGCTGAGCAGTGGGACCCAATCCTTCCTTCCATGGAGCACTTGCATCCCTGCTACCTGGTGCGTCTTGCTGGAGTTTAGCATCAGTGGCAGCTGGCAAGATGCACCAGGCACACAAGTGCTCCATGAAAGGAAGAATAAGGTCCCACTGCAAAGCTCCCTTCCCCGCCCCGCTCCATCTACCTGCGTCTACACTAACTTGGGTCTGTGACAGCCTAGAGCAGCTGAGCACCCAGCGAGTGCTAGTACATCTCCCTGCAAGGGGGGGCTAGTTGCAGGGGGATGCTGCAAAGGTCCCTGGGGCGCCACCAGACAGTGACCTAAATTGAGACAGGAGGGACTCTAGTACTGAAGTTCGATAGACCAGTTTAACCTAAAATCAGTTAAGTCTGTAAAACATCCATCCAGGTCTCTCTCAGACCAGGATCCACCATTTTTAAACCAATCTATATGCTCTAAACTTCTCTTCTGTTATGGGTATAGACCAGTTTCTGACCACCTAAATGGGAAAAAGTGTAATGTCTGCAGCTGGCCTCAGGTACTGCAGTGATGAATGCTCTAAGTATGCATGTTCAGTCAAAATATGTCCTGTAGATTAGAGGAGAGTTTTTTAACCACTGTTTTGAAGTTGGGGTTATTTCTGAATTGGCTTGTGCAGTCGTGTGGAGAAGAGCAGTCTAATTTTTTAACAGAATTAAATTAACTTTTCCAGATGTTTGTAACTCTAAGAAGAAACAAGAACTGATATATATTTATCAGCCTTCTCTTATAGCTGTCCAATCATTTTAGTATCAGTGAAGAGGTGTAACATAGGGCAGAATTTGGCCTGGGGCACTTTGAGTGAAAACACTACATACAGTTTCTGATCTTCAGAAATTAATATTACTAAAATCATTTTTCAACTTGAAGCTTTGTTTTCCAAAGGCTGTTTGCTTACTTCTAAGCAAAAAGACAATTGTTCTTCCATGGATCATTTTTCTATCTTGACAACAAACTCACATAAGGAAAAAGAACATGTTTGGCTTTTAACTTCCAGCATTTGTAGAATAATAAGGCAATCAGTAAGGAGTCATTGTTTATACTTCAAGGTTAGCAATGAACTAGAGCCATGTATGAAGGTAAGTGCATCTAAACCAGTGGTTCCCAACCCTGGGTTGTGACCCAAATGAGGGTTGTGGGGGCAATGCTGGTGGGGCTGCACAGAAAAGATAAGCTGTACCGTGTACTGGGAGCTCCCCTGACCCCGGGCCGCCGCTGCCGCACTCCACTCCTAGCAGCAGGGCATGAAAAAAAGGGGTTGGAAACCACTGATCTAAACAAAGGTTTTCCCAGTCATACATCTGTTGCAGACTATGGACCTTGAACACAGTCATATTTGGAACAGTTAGAGCCTAGTTCTAATACCCAGCCTTTGCATTCTGGCAAAATTAAAGGTTCTCTCTTCTGTACACATTTTATGGCAATACGCACTCTCTATCTGAAGAAAATTCCATGCATCTTGGATTGTATTTAGGACACCAGATTAAACATTCAAAGAGCAGGGAATCATGTTACCTAAACAAAGTATAGCCCTTCAAGTCACATCACATTAAAATCATGCTTTTGGGATGCTTAGAACATTGGTCCCTAGTGGAAAAATGAGAAATGATATCAGATTAAAATAAAGGGGTCTCCATTTCAAGCCTATTATTATTTGGAATGTCTGTATAGTATACACTAGAACTCAGTCTGGTTTTCTGGGAACTAAAGTCCTGGTTTTAGGAGACAAGAGAAGAGGAAACCCAGGTTAACAGAATACAGCAGTGGGTAAGGAAATACCAGCAGTTAGGAAAGTCAGCAAGGAAGATACAATGCCATTCACATGAAAAATATGGTATTAGGTCAAGTTATTTAGTCATAACAGATCAGAATACAGATGTCATTCTGCTCCTCTGTATTACTATAAAACCATCATTGCTGCATTTTCACAGCTGATCTACTGCAGACGTTTTATTCCTTTGTAATATATGCCATAAAAGTCTACTAAGAATATCTTTATTTTGAAATTCCAGCAAATGGGGGAGCTTTCATGAGACTTGGCCTTTGATAAAGAAGGAACAGTTCTTGTTCCCTGGGACAGAATATGTTGCTTCCTGATAAGCTTAATGGATGTTTGTAGGTTGCTGGGTCTGTGGTTTAGTTTTTGTTTGTACTGCTTTACAAAAAGTGGGGAGGCTGCAGGTTTTGAATTGGACACAAGCTTTTCAGCTAAGCATGATGGAGGACTCTTGCTTTGGTCATTGCCTGACACACCTACCTACTGAACCTAAATAAGGACGCAAGGGTGGCCAAGGCAAAAGGTTAAAGCAGCCCAGCAGACAGCAAGCAGGGGAGTCCCATGACAAAAGTACAGTAAACAGAGGAGTTTTTGCATGGGAGCTACAAGCCTGGGCTTTTCTTAACAAGTAGGTGCAAGGAAGAGAAGGCAAGTGTAACCGGGGTGGTACTCCAAGATGTACCCCCTCTCCAATTGAAGGGATCTGAGCAGGTGCACAAGTGCTGTGGGAGGTGTAGGGACCCTCCTTCCCCTATAGAGCAGAGCCAGATCACCAATGGGGACTTAACCACATACCTTTTAATGAGAAAAACAGTAATGGGAACATAACATGTATAAACCAGGGAGTATAGGGGACATTACAACGCCCTGAGGGGGCAGGATTCAATAAAGGTTAGGCACTTACATATTAATTCAGTTGAGAAAAGACAGGTTTAACAAAATATAAAACACAAACAGCAGAACAAACAATACTGGTTGGCAAAATGCACAAAATACAAAATGTCAAATAACAAGAAATATAGGGCCTAGATACCTGGAGGGGGGAAAAGAGGGAAAACACAATGACCCCCTTCCACTGCACCAAGAATTTCTCCTTGTCACTTCACTCACCCCAATTCAACCCAGCTGGGACTTGAATTTGGGTCTCCCACGTGGTACTGCTCCAAGCTGCTAGAGGTTTTGATCTTCCAGGAATCCCTGCCTCATGTCAAGCTTCCTGGCTTCTTGCTGGAGGAGCTGGAAGCAGAGCTGGGAACCTCTCAGGTCACTGCTCAGCTTCTTGCTGGAGCTGGGGACCTCTCCTGCTGGGTGCAGCCTCTCATAGGGGGATCCTAGAGCCCAGCAGGGAGCCTTCCCTGCCAGCTGGCCGCACACCGTGCTGCTGAGGATCTAATGGCTGCCTGCAGGTCCCACTCCTTCAGGCTCTTCTGGGGCAACTCCTCCTGCCCTGCTGGCCCAGCTCTTGCCAGCTCCTTCCTCATGGTCCCTCACTCGTCACCCCTGAGTCAGCTGCGCTGCCCTTTTTATCCCCCTCCAGGTGATCTGAGGGATCAATCAGGGGACATGGAGGGTGAGTCTTTGGGGCTGATTGGTGAGGAAAGGGAATCTCAAGCCCTCCAATGATCTTTTATCCTTTCAAAACCCCTGGGCCAAATCACCACCAGCTAGCCCGTCACACAAGTATAGCTATGGAGGCAGCAGTGGGAGGTGACTTGAAACCGTGGAGAAACAGTGAACTGGATGCAGCAGCTGCAGGATATATATCATCCTTGAGAGGGATACTTGCTGATAGCTTTTTATACCCAACACAACTTTTGAGGGAGCTAATCAAAAGGAAGATGTGAGGAAAATAGTTTGAATGGGGATGTGAGACAGAACTCACCTGGAAATGGCTATGGAACCAGTGTTCCTAGGAGAGCTGCTGGCCATTCAGTCTGACAAGCATTCTTTTGAGAAATTAACTCCTGTGATGCTATGGGAAAATGTGATTTTTTGGATGAAAAAAGTTGACTTAATTCATCCTGGGTCTAATGCCGTTGACTACAGCTTGGCTCACTGCATCCATCAAAATGATCTAGGCAGGCAAAGTTCCTTGAGTAGATGCGATATCTTTTATTAGACCAACTGCGTAGTTGGAAAAAAGTACTTAGTAAGCTTTCAGGCGCAATCACCCTTCATCAGGCACACGAAGTCTTTACTGTTCTGACACCAAGGAATGAGAGAAGCTAAAAGTGACAGGATGTCAGTGAGAATGTAAATAGGTAGAAATTAGGAAAACAAAAGGTAGAGCAGGGAAGGGAAGGGGGAGAAAAAGCAGGCAGTGGGGTGGGGAGTAAATGAGACTATACATGAGTAGTAATTCAAGGTAGAAAAGAGGTTATCTTTGAAAAAGGAAATATCTGGAAATTAGGAAGACAAAGCACAGAAAAGTAGGGTACGGGAGGGGAGAAAGACGGGGGTGTGGGGAAGAGAAGTGTAAGAGGTCAGGTCTGGCAGGTTCCTGGTGAATCAGATGTCAGGCAGGTTGTAATGTGTCATAAATCCAATGTCTATATTGAGTCCATCATTTTTTAGCACTGTTTTGAGAAAATTGAGAAACATAGTACTGTTTTACAGACACATATCACTTCCGTAATTGTATCAGCATGATATTAGATGTCATGACTGTGTGCAATGCGGTTAGTCACTAACACACCTTTACAACCTCTCCCCTTTTTTTTTTCCTTTCCAGGATATAAACTTCTGACCTGATCCACTGATATTAAAAATGGCCAATTCACATGCTGTCACAATTCAGCCCCAATTCACTGTTGTTACTAGTACATCAAGAAGTAACTGGCAGACAGGGCTACTGGACTGCTGCAGTGACTGCAGTGTGTGTAAGTGGATATACTAGTATCTCTGCCCTGTTTTGGCTTGCAGTGTCTTGATTCTTATATTTGTCTTGCCTCCAGGCTTTTACCAGCAAGTACTTTAAATGGGGGGACCCATTAATTTATTACTTAGGACCCCGCTACCTGTTCAAATTAAAGCTGGATAAAAACCATCTGTAGAGTTGTTACACATTTTCAAGCACTAACTTTATAGCTGGTTGGCTTAGGTACACAGAGAGCCAACAAGTTATAAAGTTAGTGCTTGAAAATGTGTAGCAACTCTACAGCTGGATAGTCATTTTTGTGGTGTGATAATCACTTTGCACATGTGGCTGGTCTAGATGTACTATACAGTTAACCAGTTAGTTATGTTATAATTGCTTTGTACTTGCAGCCAGTCTTATTTTGCAGATCTGGCCAGTCTAAATTTATTCTGCAATTAATCAGTTAACTGTGATATTTATACATAACTTGTAGCAGGTGCCTTATTTACTTAAAGGAGTCATTTATAATGTTATTTCCTATATCTGCTGTGACATTGCTACTCAATGATGATTCACACACATGCACGCGCACACACGCACTCAGTGCAAAACCTCTCTTGTACTCCCACTGCTTTCAGGCATACCCCAACCCCATCCATAAAGCAGGTAACTATTACTATTATGTAGTTAGGCAAGGTCAACACTATGCCTCCTGCTCATGGTTCACTTGATCTACTTATATCTTTGTAAAAAAAAATTGAGCCTTGTCTTTTAATAGGATTTGACATGAAACAAAGCGTGTGCTTAGTTCGTGCAATCAACACACACCTTTGATATCCCCTTACAAAGTAAGAATATAAGAATTACATCTAAGGTTAAAGCCAACATCACTTTCAGGTCGTGTGGAGCCCTTTCCCTCCCTTGTGCTAGTTCTAGTTTGGCACATCCCAACTGTTTTCCTTCCATTTTCTAGATACCTTTACATTGCTTGTGCGATGAGAGCTAAGCATCGGCATGAATTCAGGGGAAATATCTAGTGACCCTCATTTGTTGTTTTGTCTTGTTTGCCCAGGTCTGTGTGGAGCATTCTGTTTTCTTTGTCTCCAGTGTCAAGTTGCAAGTGACATGGATGAATGCTGCCTCTGCGGCTCAAGTGTGGCTATGAGGACACTCTACCGGACAAAATACAATATCCCAGTTAGTTACTATTTAATCATTTGTTGAACCCATGCTCAAAGCAGCAAATCACCTAATTTAACACAATGGTGTGCTACTTTTTTTTGTAGGCCAGGTATAATTGAGTCATGTCTCCCTGACTGCTAAGTGGCTGCCCTTATAGGTTAAATACAGACAGTCAAAAAGCCTGAATCGATTTAATCTTCACAGGTTAGTCTAAGCCAGGGATGGGCAATTATTTTGGGTGGAGGGCTGCTTACTGAGTTTTGGGAAGCCATCGAGGGCCGCATGACAGGCAGCCGGGGGCAGATAAATATTAATTTTCTAAATTTTTAGGGGCCCTTCGAGCCAGATCAAATGGCCTGGCGGGCTGCATCCAGCCTGCGGGTCACACTTTGCCCACCCTGGTCTAAGCTGTGTAGTTTGAAACGATAAGCAAGTGAACATTCACTTTTGATTCTAGAATTGCTGCCACGTGCCTGCAGTGTCATACCTGAAGCCAGGGGGCACTAGAGCACACCTCCCTGCTCAGCTGGAGCAGATAGCTTGGGCCAAGGCTAGCCTAACCCCCACTGCGAGTGTGGGGGTTTGTGGGGAAAGTAGGGGACTGTGAGTTAACTTGAATCTGGAGGGGATCTGGGATAGAAGCTCAATAAACTGATTTAACCAAAATCAGTTAAGTCTGATACTACATCCATCCACATTTATCTTAAATTTGTTTCAGCCATTTTGAAAGTGACTTATGTGCACTGAATTGTTGTGTTACAGATTTGAACCATTTCTGATCATGTATACCGGTTTATGTGTAATTTCTATCCCTAGCCATAATGTGAGAGGCAATGTGGTTTGGTAATTAGCACAGAACAGCAGCCTACAACCTTTATAAATAGGGATGTATTCAAATCGCAGAGCCCGGAGCCAAATTTCCTGGGTTCACCATGGCCCCAGGCACCAACTTCACAGGCAGATCATAGCCACCCTCACGCTCCAACACCTCTGATTGGCTTGGGTGGCTGGCAGATACATGGGCTGCCACTGCCTCCTGTCCCGGGCTGGCCCCACTCTCTGCCTAGCCCTGGCCTGCACAGGGGGAAAAATAATCCCCTCAGCCCTGTATGGGTGAGGGGACAGGCTGCTGCTCTCCCACTGCCTACTAACCAGGTTACACTGTCCTCCTGACCCAGTCCTTTTCCCTTGCCCCTCCACGGCCCTGCGTGTGTATTAACAACTATCTGAAGAACCCTCCAGAGAGGTTCACCTTTTGAATTTGTGACCAACTGAGGAGGAGGGTTAGAATTAGGGGGGCACCAATAAAAAAATTTTGGGCCAATACCGATGGTTGTATTAACCAAACATTTCGGCTAATACCAATCCGATTGCTGATATGCAGCCTGGCAGCTTGGAGAGCAGTGTCCAGCTGGTAAGTCTGTTGGGGGGATGGGGCAGGGGGGAGGAAAAGGGCATGGGCAGATGGAGGTTAGTCTGACAGGGGCAGGTACTGCCAAGCTGGGGGGTGGGGAACAGAGCATGGGATGGAGCTGTGGCTTGTCCAGGGGGCATGGGGGGGGCAGCTCCTGCCACTGTATGCACCCCTGAGAGAGGGATGGGGGACACGTGCCCCCCCAGATCTGTGCATGGGGTGAGGGCAGACTGCCTGCTGCGTGCTCGGGGCTGGAGGCTGCACCGGGCTCTTCCTGGCAGGGGCTGGGCCTGGGCTGTGCTTGGGGCAGGTGGCAGTGGTGCTGGAAGGGGAGCTACAGCCACCACAAAATTTGCAATAGTCCCCCTCCCAGCACCACCAGCTGCCCCAAGTGGAGCCCAGGTTCAGCTCCCTCCAGGAAGAGCCTGGCACAGACTTCAGCCCTGAGCACATAGTGGGCAGCCTGCCCTCACCCCATGCACAGATCTGGGGAGCACATGCCTCCCCTGGGGTGCATGCAGTGGTGGGAGCTGTCCCCTAGCACCCTTCAGATCAGCTGTGGCTCTGCCCTTCATCCAGGTCTTCCCCAGCCGGGCAATGCCTGCCCCTGCCCCATTCCCTCCCTCACTGTGGGGGCTTCGATCTGCCTCCCCATGCCCCTTCCCCGCCAGACCATGGCCAGATGCTGTTCTCCAAGTTGCTGGGCTGCATTCCTGGCCGCGTGCGTGCTACAGCTGCACCCATGCACACAGCATTTATCAGCGACATTATCAGCCACATCAGCCAAAAAAAGACCATTGCCGACAATGTCAATTTTCCTTGTGTCGATGCCGATATGATATGGACCGATGTATTGGTGCACCTCTATTTAGCATGCTTTTAGGTAAAGGTGAACAACACCATTGACTGACAGTGAGGAAGTAACAAGTTTGTAATAAGATTAAGTGTCAGCATGATTGGCTGCCAAAGATGATGGATAGGCTAGCAGTTGCCAGGGTCCGTTGGAATAAAAGAACTTGATTGAAGTGTCCCTAGCCGTGCACCTGGGAGGCCTGTGTGAGCATATGTGGTCATTCCAGACCTGAGCAAGTTCCTGTGCAAGTATTGAGCATTCCCAGACTTAATGTGTATGCTTGGGTGAGAGCAAGAGTGATCTATCTGTGTTTTGTAGTGTGCCCACAGATCCACGTGTGCTTGCTCATGGTTGCCCCTCTGGGGTGAGGTGAGAGTACCTGAGATTGCCCCTCCATGGTGAGGAGAGCACCTTGGATTGAGATCTCTTCTGCATCGTGAGGAGAGGAGAGGAGTCTTTGTGTTGCTTAAGGGCAGGGTCTCTGCTCACCCATCTAAGCTTATTCATGGTGCTGCATCTGTATGCTCTATCCTGCTGGACCCTTAGGGGCCTCCATAGTGCTGCTACTGTGTGGCAAAGTGTTGCTTTCATGGTTCTGTATTCATCTGTATACGTTGTTCCTTTTGCTCATCCCTTAATGCATTTAGAGTCTGTTTCTTGTTGTTGTATTTTAATAAACCTTTGCTGCCTCATCTCCTAATCTGTGATCTAATATACTGAGAAACCAAGGTGGGCACCCTATCCAGCACTAGTGCGGAAATGCCGGTGTTGGTCACCTTGGGCTAACCTTATAACCCCATTGGTATCCCTTTCCTCCTGGTTCCTTCTCGGTCTCCCATAAGAATTTGTACTCTAACCAGCTGGGACACTTCAGAAATCTCTGGTTCAACAAGAGGATCTGACTCTGGGAGGCAAATCTCAAATACCACTACCCCACTTCGTGACCTTGCACTTAGGGAAAAAACATAAAGTATATGTAAAATAATGATTATGCATCTCCGTAAATGGTTTTTATAACTATTTCATGGAATATACAAGCAGAGTGTATTTGTTACTAATATATGCCACTTTACAGTACAGCTGTGCTGCTTGCTTACGAAATAAGCAATCTTCTCTGAAGAGGCATTGGTTATATTTCTCTCTCTCTCTAAATTAAATGTGTATCGGACAATTTCTAATGAAGCTCTTGAGGTACTTAAAACATATCACAACCAAAGCTATACAACCTTTATTTAACCCAAACTAACTTTTTCACCCTCTGTCTTCATCGCTTATCCAGTTCCCCCCTTGATTTATCAAACCCTGCTTTCAGATTTTTTTTTTCTCCCACAGGTTTTCAATCAAGATTGTAAGCTATATGCTTTTTCTTTCCAAGTGATATCCTTGTATTTCTAGAGTCAAACCCTGGTATGCCAGACCATCAAATAACAGAATTGCCTAAGAAATGTACAAAATCACTATGAACATTTATTTATGTATGTCTGTATTACAGGTCAGAAGCTGGTCTTGTGAAGCCTAGAGCCTGTGCTGATGATGCTTATTGTTGTTTTTTTTAACAGGGATCCATCCTTTGTGATTTCTTCTCTTCCCTCTGTTGTCCTATGTGTTCTGTTTGTCAGTTAAAGAGAGACATTACCAGAAGGAAAGAACAGGGAATCTTCTAATAAGGTTTGTTAAAGTTTTTTTAAAAAGTTCCTCAGAAGCAGTGTTTCAGTTAAAATCAGTTTTAGGACAAATGGGGTCTAATGGAAGAGTCTGATGTAGAATCAGTAATATGCAGATGATAGCAGCATAGATATCCTCATCTGTCCAACCTTTGAATGGATACTGATAGTCATAGAAGATGTACCATCAGCTTATTTTAATGTGAGGTCTGTGCTACAGGGCCCGCTCTAATATGAGATGAGACTTACTCTAGTGACTCAAGCCAATCTAAAATAAAGCATGGTCATCACTACAATTGGCAGAGTCAGGAAACGCAAGACCAAACAACAGCTAGGATAATTACCACTGGCAAAGAGCCTTGTTGGCTAACCAAAGGTATTCCAGGCTATGTAATACCTACAGTGGAAAAGGCATGAACATTTGACCTGGCTTATTCCACAAAGGAATGAACCAGATCAAAAATTAACATAAATTGGGGAGAAATCTATGGCTGTGTTTTACAAAGGCCCAACGTGACTCAGTTCCTGAAGGTGTATTATGGAAAGCAACAACTACCACAGCTGTCCTGTATTCTAAGCAGCAAACACCTAGATCTGCTGTAGCAGTGTAGCATGGGAAGCAGCCACTCTCACCCCACTGTTTTACTGTACCCTCTGAAGCATGTGCTGTTTTATTTATACTCCTGTATTTATTTATTTTAAAAAGAGGGTCTGAACCAATGTAGGACTTAAGTACCTAAATTCTATTTAAGTCAAAATCTAGGTGCCTGAAAACTATTACTCAGCTGCTGCCTTACTTGTGCAGGCACCTTCTTGAGAACTTGAAAGTCAAACAAGACTCATAGTTTCTACATATTCAGAATTAAACTGGTCTTGACTGAGCAAGGTAGTTCCAAGCAAGCTTTTGAATGAGCTAGGCACTGGATCCAAAATTTAGGCATTCATGTGGCTAAAGCCCTTAAGGGGCTTCATCTAGTATGCCTAAAACCCTCAACAGAACCACCCTTCGTACAAAATACAGTTGCAGTCAACCTAAGAGTAGTTACAAGAGCAGCCTGAGAAGCAGGAGACCCAGATTCTCTTCTTTGTGACTCAACCCCATGTTTTACTTCCTTGGACAGGGGCTAATCAGTAGTCTACACAAGCTAAAATGCACAGGAAAGTTCCCTCCAACTTGTGTGGGAAAACTGTTTGGAGTTCCTGAGCCAAATACCATGAATACAAGACCCAGTGGTTAGGGCCAATCTGGGTGGTGTAAATCAGACTCTAATGTAACCTTGACCAGAAGATTTTAGTGTAAACCAACAAAAAAAGGCTTCACTCCAGTTTGCTTCATTTTTCCATTAAGACTGAATGCATCAGATCCTGTCTTCACACCTTTGTAACTAAGACAAATTTTTCAAATCAGTATTGCTCTACCTTGTGATGAGATTTGTTAAACATTCGAGCAATGCAAGACTTTTAAAACTTTTAAGTACAATTCGTGGTAGTGTATATTGTTAATCATCTTAGCCTTGCGTGTAACTATCTTTTTGTCCCCCCCCTTATCACTCCAGGTTTTCTTCCGCTTGTTTCTGCATATTCAGTGTTTTATATGCAAGAATACAAAGATCTACAGGAGATGCAAGCAAGCAAGGCAGCACTTTTGGCTTATTTGCTATGAATTACCAGGGAAAAAATAAAAGGTTTTTCACCTCACTTGTACATGTGTTCTTTTTATAACCACTTCTGCAGTAATAACCAGTTTCACTATCCTAATGTGCTTGGAAAAAAGTATTCCCTTTTTTCCATTAGCATGCTTACAAGATTCACTAGCCTACTCTACATCTCTCATCTGTTCAGCAATTAGTTGCCATCCTAAACAAGGGACCAATAGTTATTTTCCTGTCCTCAGAACTGTAAGACAAAGTATTTCTTTTTGCAAAGCTAACACAGAAAACTAGCATTATATTGCAACACTTGTATACTGAAATGCAAAAACCAGAAAGGAATGAAGTATTGTAAGTGAGTATTTATAGAACAAGACAACTCTAGAGCTGCTGAGTCTAACTGCCTTATTCCCCCTTTTATTGGAGTACACGTAACTAGAAAAGCATGGTGCTTAAGGTTTCACAACACAACAATCCACAGAAAGTTACAAGACCACAACTCCGTTAAAGTACTATTACAAAACCAAAACCTGTTTCTGTTGCAGGGGTTACTTCTTTCAGTCTAAGCCACAGCTGCCACATAGGAAAACACTGTATATTCCTAATCACAGCTCAAAGTCAAGGTTCTAGCAGAAGAAGTATAGAAGCAAGGGATGGATTATGTGGTTGTTTTGTAATCCGTGTAAATTCCCACTGCACAGGAAGGGCAGTGCAGTCAGAACATCCCGAGCATGTTTACTGAGCCATCTGAGCTTCCATAGCCTGTGCGGTCCATTCAGGGGCCGTCTGACTTATCTTTTCCAGAAGGTTGTTTACTTGGAAACATAGTGATTGAATCTGTTTGTCCCATGTTGGCAAAGCTTCACGACCTATAAGAAACGAAAAATTTGCAGAAGTAGACAGACTGGCAGGACTAAATGTCTATTAGCATTTCCAAGTAGGCTACAAAGAAATTGTCTGTAGTACAATTATTTCAAAATGGAAGCCCCTCTATGTACAGTAAGTTCAATACTGCACCATGAAGAAGTGAATGCAGAATTTCCCACTGAGCATGTATGTATAAGAAGACTGACAGGATGAAATATTTTTTGTAATCTTATACAATCCCATTTGCATAATGTGAATCACATCAGTTCTTTCAAGAAATGAGACACTGTAAATATCTGACTAGTAGGGGTGTGAGAAACAGGTTGCATTCGATTAAGATTTGGCCTAAATCAGGGATAGCGATTCACTTCATTGATTCAGATGGCTGTCCCAATTAGATTCGTCCGAATCCGAAGATTCGATGCCAATTTGGAGAACCAGCAATTCGGCCATAGACACAGCTTTAAATGTTTTTTCTACTTACCTTGAGGTACCAGGCATGAGCCCCCACTGCTGGGGCAGAAGGAACATCCTACAGGAGTGCAGGGGGGTTTCCCTGCATACTTGGTGGCGAACCTGGAAGAGTGGACCAGAAGTACTTCTGGTCCACTTAAGGGTCCGCCACCAAGCATGTGGGGGGCCCCCCCGCCCCCACTGGCTCAGCAACTGGCTGCAGGGGGGACTCTGGGTGCCCCCCTAGACCCAGGAGGCACCAGTCGCTGAGTCAGCAGGCGCAGGTCCTCCGCACACTCCCTGGCTGACCTGGAAGTTGACTAGAAGTGCTTCTGGTCCACTTCCAGGTCCGCTGCTGAGTGCGCTGGGGACCCCCGTGTTCCTGTAGGATGCTCCATCCACCCCAGCATCTCAGCATTCACGAGCCACTTTGGTACCTTGACGTATGTAGAAAAATCATTTAAAGCTGTATCTGTCTGAATCATCAAATGTTTCCGAATCAATTCAGAGGGTTCCAATTAGATTCGTAGTGATTAAAGGGTCTCCTGATTCTATTCAGATTCAGAGATTCGGCCACCAAATTGGGCCAAAACTCCACCGAACTGAATCAGCGACGGAAGCTTCGTACACCCCTACTGACTAGTGCTAGTATTTGCAATGCAAACTCTGCCCTCTGCTGGCTGCACAAGGCAAGAACTCACACCTGCTTCTAACAGGTTTTTTTCAGCTCATCTAAAGACAGTGGGAGCAAACCTTTTAGCAGGCATACTACAAATTAAGCCCTGGGCCCTTCTGAGTGCCACTCCAATCCACTTCCCCTGCCCAATCTGCTGTTGTGTTGCCTGTCCCTTCCTTGATCTGCCCTGTGCCCCACAAAGAGGCTACTAGTGTCACTTGTGCTGCAGGTCAGCACCCCCTGATGCAGGAGACCCTCATTTTGAAGTGCAAATGTTCATCTTGTAGAATACAACTCAACCAATTAATATTGACCTGCATTAGGAAAATGTGAGGGATGATCTTACTTTCAAAATGAACGATTCCATCTATTTGATCAATAAATCCATTCATGCGACCTTCAGTTATCATCTGGGAAGCTATCTTTTCTGCCTGGAAAACAGAGAAGAGACAGTGAGATGTATATCCATTTTGTTTCTAAACTATTTATGGAGCTGCTTAAAGGATCCCTGGCCCTTACAAATTCCCACCACTCATTCCTTCAGTGCCCTATATCATTGCCACTTTAAGGATGGTCCAAAGAAAATCAGATGGACTTTTCCTTTGGAAACAGTCAGCACCACTGCTTATCCATTTCCTGTGGCTGTTGCTGAGTAAGGTCAGGTGAAGACCTGCTCCTCCTCCCCACAACATGCACTACAAGTTTAGCTTCCCCAGCATTTTGAGTTGCATTAGCTTTGCAAATGAAAGACCAAATCTCCTAAAGGCAGTGCACAGTAGCAATGACTGGGCTGGATGAGACTAGTAACCTGTTTACTGTAACTCTTGTCTCAGTACAGACCTTTGAACAAGAACTTCCATTTCATACCACAACAAAACATAAGGATGAACAGTATGAACAGGTGGAAGTGATAGGCATAAGTACCTGTTAATAGACTGCCAATGGAACTTACTTCTCACATCCAAAAAGCATCATATAGGAGTCAAGTAAGGTACCTTGGCTGCAGGGATCTCTAATAATGCTCCAAGTTCTTCAAAGGTAATATTATTGTACAGTTTGCTTGCAGATAACAGGTTGTGCTCAATGACAGCTCTGTCTAGGATACTGGAACCTCGGAGTGAAATGATGGTTCTTTATTAAGGCTGTAAACATGGTCTTGCAGTTATGAAATCCTTTGCTAAATGTTTGTGTGCACCAACTGCTAGCCATATCAAGCTGTCTTTCAACAATATTACTTATCAGAAGACAAAGTTATTGAGAAGAAGATGTTAAGGACTATGGAATTCTGAAGGCTGCAGACCACTGTTCAAGCATCAGACAAACTACCTGTACATTCTACTACCAGGCTCTCCAACTGGTGGCTTGCAAGGGGTTAAGCTGCATTCCCCAGGCTTCTGCACCAGCAGCCAGTCTCTGGGCTCCCTAATCCTTCCTCCAATTTTCACTGACTACTGGTGTGTGGAATGGAGAGAGTTGAGGCTGGGGGCGAGATACAGCTGTGAAGAGAAGGTGCATATACGGTGCAGCATGGGTGACATGTCAGTGCAGATGCACATGGTAGCAGCAATGGTGGGCCTGGCTCACCCTGGGCTCTTAAAAACTGGACAGCCCTATCCTACTGCATTAGGACACGGTCAACGAGTCTACAAGTGGGCAAGCTGCTTGGATTTAGATATGCTGTGCATGTCTACAAGTGATATTAATGCAATGCAATAAACTCTTGCAGTTTGTGCCAGAGTTTATTGCTCCTGGGTGCAAGATTTTTACATGCACCAGGGACTGCAACATGTTGAGCCAGGGTGGCACAGCCCCAGCTGGCAAGGGCCCAGGGGGGTCAGCCTGCCAGACTGGAGCTACTCACCCCCAGCCCAACGTGCTGTGAAGGGGCTGGCTGAGGCACAAGGGTGCTATAGCACAGGGCTAGCTGGTAGGCAGTCCCTGCACTGTAACATGCTCCTGCCCCAGCCAGCCCCAGTCACCATCTACACCCGTGCTGTGGCAGAGTAAATAACTCCGCTGTAGGACAGTACTTGTGTTGGGCAGTAGTATCAGGGATAGTGGAGTTATTTAGTTTACTGTGGCCTAATAAGAGTGCATGTATATATGGTGATGCCTAACCTTGGAGCTAATTAGTTAGCTCTGCAGTAAAGTATCTTGTGTAAATGCACCCACTGAATCATTTTAGGCTTTAAAGAAATATGTACCATCAGCTGTGGTAGCTTTCTGGTGTGGCATAAGCATAGCAGCAAACTCCTGCAGCTGGTTGCCTCGGATAATCCTGTCCAGATACATCTTCTCCAGGATCCCATAGGCTGCAAGCTGCTGGCATCTCTCATCCTTGAAGAGTGTGGCTAACATGCGAGAGCGCTGCTGTCCTAAGAGAAACAACAAGAATCAGTGGCAGGCTTGAATGAGAAATTCTGTATTTACATGCATATCTTCTGCGCTCCTTTTCAAAGAAGTGTTGTCAGTTGCTTAAGCTTCCCACTCACTTGTTCTTCTGTGCATCTAGGCAAGATGACATGAACACAGAGAGAAAAAACACACACAAAACTCATACTTCACAGCCCTAAATAAACCCTCACCTGTTCTGTGCCTTTATATTACTAGCTATGCTTGAAAATAAACCTATGCAAAACATAATGCTGAGATTTAATAAGATTAGCAAACCCTTGGTGTATGGAATATAAAAAGCCAAAAACTATACACAAATCTGTAATTCATTTTCCCTGCCGATGCTAGGATAGTA